CAGGATAAAAAGGAACAGTTGGACAGATACAAGGGACCTAACACCTTACACCACTTACATCTTACCTGGGATTACAGAAATAGTTTTCAAAGCTCTCAATACTCTGAAAGTTCGAAGAGCTGACACATTGCCTAGTTTTACAAATTCTGTTATATACCTGTAGAATTAAACCACAGTTATTCAGAATTGAGGTAGACTTCATGATACTTACCTGAGGATTTATTTGAGCTAAATCCTTTTGGTAATGAAATTATAATTTAGTTTTAGTGATTTTGTATTCAGCACGTAGAGTGGAAAATAACTCCCACTGTGCCCACTGGGAATAACACCAAGTAAATGCTTGTAAGTTTGTAATTACTGTCAATGAAAAATTTGTTAGCACATTTGATATCAATGATTAAAGATGCTTTACCATGTATGTATGGTTTTGTTAACAGACTGAAACTTAGATGTTTGTATTTCCATGCCTGTGTGGATGTATTATGATAGAATAAAATACCTCCTTACAATGGAGCTGCATTCAGCCCTATAAAATGCACCACCATATACAGTACAGAACTGTCAGTGCTTTGTTGAAAGCCTAGTAAATTTATGTATTACTTAAGTGCAGAAAAGAGCAACCAGGATGATTAGAGGCCTGGAGGCTAAAACATATGAAGAACAGTTGCAGCACCTGGGCATGGCTAGTTTAGTGAAGAGAAGGTCCGGGGAGCCATGATAGCAGTGTTCCAATATTTGAGGAACTGCCACAGAGAGGAAGGGGTCAAGCTATTTTCCAAAGCACCTGAAGGCCAGACAAAGAATAATGGATGGAAACTGAACAAAGAGAGATTCAACCTGGAAATAAGGAGAAATTTTCTGACAGTGAGAGCAACCAATGGAACAGCTTGCCTTCAGAGGTTGTGGGAGCTTCATCACTGGAAGCTTTCAAGAAGAGGCTGGACTGCCATTTGTCGCAAATGGTGTAGGGCCAGGATGGTGAACCTATGGCATGTGTGCCACAGGTGGCACGTGGAGCCATTTGTCAGGGATGCGAGGCGTTGCCCTATCAGCTGGCATGTGCATGCTGGGCAGCTGAGTTCGGCCTTCTTTAAAGCCATTTTTCACCCTCCCCAGGCCCCAGAGGCTTTATAGGAGCCTGGGAAGGGTGAAAAGAGTGCACCCCCCTGAGGCCCTCCGGAAGCTTCAGGAGCTTCCCTGAAGCCTCCGGATCGCAAAACAATGGCCCTATGGGCAAACCGGAATGGACTTCTGGTTTTCTCGTAGGATAGGATTAAGCCCTCTGGAGGCTTCAGGGACCTTCAGGATGCTTTCCTGAAGCCTCTGGAGGAATAAAAACAGCCTTACAAGCAAACCAGAAGTCATTTCTGGTTTGCTTATAGGGTCATTTTTAGTCCTCTGGAGACTTCAGGAAAGCATCCTGAAGGTCCCTGAAGCCTCTGAAGGGCCTCTGGGGGGGGGGGCAGGGGAGGCTGTTTTCGTCCTCCACATGCTCCTATAAAGCCTCTGGAGCCTGGGGAGGGTGAAAAAAGCATGCAAAAATGGGGGGGGAGCACCACTCATGCGTGCATGCACACTTGGGGGCATCACACATTGCATTATGGGTGCAGCACGCCCACGTACAATCCCCCTGCGCTCCCCCCTTATGGCACGTGAGCAAAAAAAGGTTCACCATCGCTGGTGCAGGGTCTGCTGCTTGGACAGGCAGTTGGACTAAATGACCTACAAGATCCCTTCCAACTCTGTTAATCTAATCTTTTTATATAGATGAACAATTTAGGGCCACAAGGGAGTATGTGTATTTGTATGTCTATGTGCATGTATATGTATATGTCTGTATTTCAGACAATCTGAATCAGTTGCACCATATTATTCCATTATTGCTTTAACAAATGAAATTCTGACATTTAAGAAAAAGAGAGGGGGGGGGGAATTGGATTAGATACAGCAATTCTTCCTTTACATTCTACCTACTCCTACACTTCCAGAATATATTCTGAAGAAGCATGGATTGGATTTCAGGACAAGCCATTTTGCTGACAGAAACTACTTTACTGGTAAAGGGAGCTAATTATGAATAAGAAAAACTAATCACAACTGAAGTAAACATGAGATTAGTATGACTTAGTTGTAGTATCCGGTGACAGTTTTTCCATTTTGTTCATAAGTGAGAATTTCCTACTGATTCTTTCTACCTTCTGGGATTCCTATACCTATCCTAGAACAGTGGTTAGGGGAGGAGCACATGAGGGGAAATTTATCTTGCCTATTATGCCCATTCCACTAAGAGAAAGCTATTTGCAATTCATAAACAATACAATTAATGTATGTCAAAATTGTCATGCAGGTGCAATATTAGTGATACTGGTTTCTTTAAAAATACATACATCACCTATGTAAAAAAAAAGGCTGAATACTTACGCAAATGAAATTACAAGAAAATCAAGCCAATTCCAAGGATCTCGAAGGAAAGTAAACTTATCTATACAGAAACCTCTTGCAAAGATTTTTATGAGGGATTCAAATGTATATATTCCAGTGAATGTGTATCTGAAGGGGAGAAAAATCCAAGCAAACTGGTCATTCCTGCAGGATTTAGTATTTCCTGCTTGTTTTATTATTGACGCCTTTTCCTTTTATTTGGTGCCTTCCAATATGGCAGAGATTTCTGCACTTAAAACAATAATTTTCCTTTCCACTCCTCTGCCTCTCCCCGCCCCTCACTTTCATTCTCAATTTCTGCTCCTACATCTTGGATCTAAGGGCAGGAACATTCTCTTTATCAGAAAGATTATACTACTGGATTTTTCACCTTATTTTTATACTGAGCATAAAACACTACTATAGATATACATCTCATTAAAAGCTTTGAGATATAACAATTTAACATAACTTTAGACACAATGCTAGAGGACTGTTTTCAAATTCTGCTAAAAGTTATAAAGAGTACCAATGTACCAAGTTTTTTTTTTCTTATTTGCAGTGTAAGAAGGAAGATATATTAACAGAAGGAACATATATTAGTATATTACTGAAGTGATAGACTAGCAATAAAAAGATATCAAAGCCCTTATTGTTTTATGGAAGCATATTACATGTTCTATTTTGGGCAAGTAGTTCTCCCATATTTCTTCCCCATAAATTCCATGAGATTTGGTTTGTGAAACTTTCTTTTTTCCTTGAATATGTACTGCACTCTAACCACCGCGCCACTCCGACTCATGCTGTTATCTTCCCACCAAAGGGGTACAAATTAGTCTAATCACCTTTGCTGTTTTCAAACTGCTAGGTGGGCGGGAGCTGGGACAAGTAATGGGAGCTCCCCAGCTGCCAAGCTCAGCATCTTTAACTGCTGAGCCATCATCTCCCATTAAGTTGCATTAATCTATATGTATAAAAATGGCTGTATGTGTGTGTTCCAGCATAACTCTGGAACGCCTTGAACAGATGACTTACTCTCTGGAAAAAAATACTATGGGGGTAAGACACCCCTAACACACTTGGGGTGTGACCATGTGTCTGTGTCTGTGTGTTCCAGCATAAATCTGGAACGCCTGGGCTGCTGAAATTAAAAGGACTGCATTATATCTACAGTGTCAAGTTACAGTACTTTTGTCAGTGATACTGTACATTTTGGATTCAGATTCTGTTAAGATACAGCCTGTTGTGCCTTAAAATGGCTTTTACTGTACAGCGCAGTGGAGTTGCCATGGTAATGGCTTCACAGGACTGCACAAGGGGGCGCCCTCTAATAAAGGATTGGGATAAATACATACCCGGCCAACGCCAGGTTATCACTTAGTAGTCTAAATAAAAATTGTACATGGTATGTATGTACTCATGTTCTGAAAAATGTATCCCAGGCTCTTCTGGCTCAGTTACTGCTGTGAGTTGCCAAACAGCTGATCAGAGTACCAGACATTGTAGCTGAGCTCTGTTTTCAACTAGCTCACAAAATTCCAGAAAATTTAACAATTGGTACTTGCAAGTCAGTATGAGCTGGTTCCAATACTACCACTTGGTGTGTTTTTTGGAGGGGTGGTGGTGGAACCAAAAGCAATCCATAAAAACTCAATATATGTTTTCTTCTTGTTGTAAATCTACATCACTGCCTAGATACAGTATTTACACAAGGTTGTCTATACAGGAGTAGGAAAACAAACAAATTGTGTACTTACTCTACCATCCATGACCACTTAGGAGGGTCTTTCAAAGTCATGAATACACAGTTTGTGAGAATAGTAAACATAATAAAGATGCTGAATAATGTTGGATTATGTCAAGGAATATGTGACAAATTCTAGACAAATACTTACATCTACCAATTCATTTCAATATATGTCTACTCAAAAGTTAAGTCTACTTAATTGAATGAAATAAACAGGCATAAGTTTATTCTCTAAATAGCAATAGCATGTAGACTTATATTTTGCTCCATAGTGCTTTACAGCACACTTTTGAGCCGTTTGCAGTGTCAGCATATTGTCCTCAACAATCTGGGTCCTCATTTTACCGACCTCAGAAGGATGGAAGGCTGAGTGATCCTTGAGCCCCGTCAGGGATCAAACTCCAGATTGTGGGCAGAATTAGACTGCAATACTGCACTGTGTCACCAATGTATCCATGGTTTTTTTAGGATACTAGCTTATAAATATTCATTGTATGAATCGATGAATTTATTTGAAAATATATTTATAAATTCCACTTAAAAATGCTATGCCAACATAAAAGTTATTTACAAGATAAATCCAAAATTTTATTCTACCGGTAGAAAATCAAAATGAATCTGGTAACATCTTTTACAACTGGTGAATTGTGTTAAAAAGCATAAGCTTTCATGAGCTGTTGCTTACTTTATCAGATACTCAGGATGGCGATAATAAGCTGAACAGAAGAGAAGAGAAAAGAAGAAAAAAGGAAAAAGAGAAGAGAAAGGAAAGAGAGAGGAGACTGACAAAAAGAAGGAAGGAAGATTATTCCAAGTCAAATGATACATACAAAGAGAAGATTTTATCTATTTAAGTAAGAATATAATGTCATCAAGGTAATTAAAATTAAGGGAGAACATGTACATCTCTCTGACAAAAGAAACTGATGCTGCTGTTTAAAAGGCAGTTTAATAAGAGAAAGTTTTACATTACTTCTGTTGTAAAAGGATATGAATGAACTAAAATTTTTATAGAAATTCTTCTAAGAGTACTGAAAGGACTCAGCATGTATAAGGCAGGTGTGGCACTGAATCTGAAGATAGTCTTCCCTTTATTCAATACTATAAATGTCTGATGAGAGAACAAAACATATAAATGCAATGTTGTAATCATATTGATTTTATTTCTTTAGTTTAAAAATGAAGTTGCAGTTCAAACATTCCAGTTAATCATGGTTTTCTATTATGAGGAGTCGCCATGTTCTATTTCAGTGATGGCGAACCTTTATGGCACCAAGTGCCCAAACCGGAATTGTGTGCACACCCCAGAGTCCCAGAAACTCAAGGACCAACTGGTCTTTGGGTTTCCGGGGCTCCGGCACACGCGAAGATCAGCTGGCCGGCACACATGTGCACAATGGAAACCAGAAAAGCAGCTGCTGATGGCGCACATGCCGGCAAAGAGGGCTTTGCATGCCTCCTCTGGTGTATGTGCCATAGGTTTGCCATTATGGTGCTATTCCTTCCCTTCATAATTGTGCAAGAGGAGTTTTCAAAACTTTTGAATTTCATTTGACACTAAGCACAATTCAGTATAATATTCCTGTTCTGGTATTTATTTACTTATAGAATGTATTACCAGCTTTTCTTTTAACAAACAATTATACTGGGGTTTCAGTACAGCATTAAAACTACAAAACCTTCAAATTACAACAGCTTAAACCTGTAAAATCATCAGCTTGCAAAATCTTAATGACCACAGGATTAATGAAACTCAGAAGCAATGAATCAGTTAAAAGGCAGCATTTGTTGTAAATGAACCGAGAAGATTTCCAGACCGCATCAGGGTTGTGTTTGACCTCGGGGGGGAGGGCAGGGTGTGCATGTGGCTAGCTCATCACTCGTTTCAGGGGCACCTGTGGTGGCCCGAGTGCTCTGCCAGCGAAAACAGTCTTCCAAGCTCAGTTTCTGGCTTCAACAGCCTCCTGCAACCCTCTGCCAGTGAAAATGGAGCTAGGGAGGGCAGCCTTCCCGAGCTCCATTTCCACTGGCAGAGGCACTGCAGGCCTGTCATTCACTGTTTCCAGGGAAGCCCCATGGGCCAGATATAATCACCCCACCGGCCCTATCTGGCCCATGGGCCTTGAGTTTGACGCCCCTGCACTAGCCAAACACCGCTAATCAAGTTTATACAGATGACTTCTTTCATCCACATTACGTAGCACATATATACTCATTTACTATGACCCACATTTTGGTTTTACTCTTTTTATAAACACTTACTTTTTTATTTGCATAATAAGGGTCCAGGTCTTCCAAGGGCTGAGACACGAAGCGAGAAGGAATGTCTCCATAAATAAAAGGCAACGACTTCCCTGCTTCCAAGTCAGTATTTGGCTTCGGCTTGCTTTCATCGTGGTCCTCCTCCTTTTGCTCTTGCTCTACTTTTTGTTTGGCTTTCTCCTCAGTGATCCTTTGCTCAATTGCTGCAAGTGACTCCTGAGTGAATTGGAAGAAGCAATCGGGCCCTGGTTGTGCATGCAGTGCGTGTGCCATTTTTTCATTCTGCAAATTTTAATTACTTTTTAATTCCTACAAAAGAATGACCTGTGAGGAGGAGGAAAATCATAAAGGGTTAAAAAAGAAGTAACAACAGCAAGAGCTTTTGTGGGTCTCTGTGTGAAACTCTTCCAAACTGCAACAGGAAAATAATCCATAGCTTCCCGACTAGGCAAATATGAACCCTTTATTATTATTTTGGGGGGGATTTTCCAAATAAAGTTAGGATTGAGGTTCTGAAGTTCAGTGAGAATCAATGGGATATGGAATCTTTAATCATCTACATTAAAAATCCAGAACTGACGTTTTCTATTATTTAAAAATGCCATTTAGGCATAATAGATTCTAAAGGTTTAAAACATTTGAATAATATCAGAAAATTGTACGTCAGCTTACTATTAAGTATTTGCATGCAGAATCATAATATGCAGGAATCTTTTTCTTGTTCCAAAGTTGCACAGCAAGAAATTCCACGGATAATCAATAAAGACATTACACCCACACACACAGACACCTCCTTCATCTATTGTTTAGCAGTACAAAATATTTATCAGGCTGAAAGAGTGGCTTTGGGATTGTAAATGGACCTTTTATAAGCTGCTGTACTTTCTACTAAAAAGAAAAAAAAAGGGCACAGCTATAGATAGATCTTGACTTATGACCATAATGGTAACAACCACATGTTCACCTTGTTTAACGATCCTTAACCCTGCCCCCCCCCCCAATGTGGTCATTAAGCAACTGTGCTTGTCATTATGTGGAATATGGGGTGGTGGAGGAGACATTGGGAGGCCTAGCCCAGGCTCAGGTCCAGGCCTCCTAAGGCACCCCCCCCTACCCAAAGGCACCCCATCCTCCGCTTCCCGTTCCTTGAGGTCCTTGTAGGCCTGTGCTGTCCAACTCCTGGCCCATGGGCTGGGCGCGTCATATACTGGCCACGCCCACACCCAGTTTAGCAAAGGGAGAAAAAGTCCTGATACATCATGTGATGTCTCCGTGACAATGTGAGTTTGACACCCCTGATGTAGGCTTTGAGAGCTCCCCCAGGTAATGTTTTTACAAAAATCATTTATCAGGCTGAAGGATCTCTGACCACAGAAGCCACGGGACATAGCATGCACCGATATGTTATTTGTAAAGGATGTAATCCACGAAGCCTGTACGAATTGTGTGCCATGATGCAAATAATGCAGAGCAGGCAATTCTCATCGCTTGTACAATCATATCGTGACATACAGTATGTGATGTCACACTGTCCCCACCATCCTGGCCAGTGCAAAATGTTCCATCTCAGCTGTAAGGGAAGAAGAATGCATTTGGCAAGCTGTAACCGCTTAGATCCCAAACGTAGCTTGAGTTTTAAGCAGGATGAGCACTTACGGTGATGATCATTATTCCTGACAACGACAGGAACCGAAGACTGAAAAGATGATGAAAGAGCCACACAACGCAAAACATCACACTGCACTTTGCTGAATGCAAATCAAGCATTTGTGCGAAAGGAAGTCCAATGCAAATAGCAGGTACAGCAGAGTTGGTCCAATTCGAGAAAAGGATTGGATGGCGCCCTTCTCCAAGCCCTTGTTACTTATTTTAAGAAGCTGTTTTAATAATTTCTACATTGTAAATAATGTCTTGTTTAATTTCGCCCCGAACCATTGAAGAGTTAATGTACACCACACTTATGTGTACACACAGTACGGAGAAGGTTCTTCTGAACACAGAGGGATTAACTTAGAATCACAATTGTGTTCCATGTATACCTTCCCTAATGCATCTATTTTTACCTAGGCACTGACTTAAAAGAAAAAGGAATATGGAAAAACACCATCCACCTAAAATAAATATTTATTTTAATCGCTCCATGTAAATTCGGCACACATTAAGCAAACTTTTACTTGCTTTACATAAACCATTTGTATGTTTACTGTGTTTTATAGTTGCCAGTCCATAACAATAATTATTCCAAAGCACTATTCAGTATTTTACTCTCAAAACCTCTTCACGAAGAGAAAAACAAAGAAAGAAGGGAAGATCAGTCTGAGATCAATGTAGGCCACAGTTTGATTAAAATAGAGATCCAGTTTGATCTTCTGGTTAAGGCACGAGGCTAGAAACCAGGAGCCTGAGTTCTAATTCTGCCTTAAGCGTGAAAGCCAACTAGATGACTTTGGGACTTTCTTTCAGTTCAACTCAGGTCACAGGCAGGGGTAGGTTGCTACCAGCATTACTGCCGGTTTGGTGCAAAAAAAAAAAATATTGAGCATGCATGCTCGCTTCGCTCATACAAAACGCGTACTCTGCATGCAAGCGCATTTACACCAAAAAAGTTCTGGGCAAGCCCAGAATGTTAGAAAAGGGAAAACTTATTTCTGCAATAGAGAATGTTCTGTGCATGCGCAGAACCCAAAATCAAGATGGCACCACTGACAATAGAACTGGTTTGGGTGCATGGGCGGCCAAGTTACTACCTACTCGTCCGAACCGGTCCAAACCAGTAGGAACCTACCTCTGGTCACAGGGTTGTGGTTGTCATAGAAAAAACAGCAGGAAGAAGGAGGAATGTTCAATACTTTGAGTTATAAAAAATTATAAAGGCAAGGTAAAAAAAAAAGGCCCTAAAAATCCCAGAGGACTTCGATTACAGTTGTACAGTAGTGGTGCACATCCTTTTCAACAAGTTGAATAATGTCTCTTTCATACCTTTCCTAGCATCTAAATTACTTTACAGCAATTACATATATACATATATATTTTAAGAAAACTATAGTTTTGCCTTACTATCTGTTGAGAAGAAGAATAACCAAAGATAGAATCAAAGCTTGACAAGAAAATTGTGTTCTCCAGATGTACACATGAGTGTGTACAAAGGCAGCTGGTTTTCTCCATTACATCGTATCACTTTTATAACAAACTAGCTGATAACCCAGCACTGCCCGGGGTATTTATTTATCCCAACCCTCCCTCCATGAAGGTCACCGCAATTTCTAATGTTGGATTTTTCCCCTTATCAGAGGGGCTTTGTGGAGTACTGTGAACCCGCTACCATGACAACTCTACAGCACTGTACAATAGAAGCCATTTTATGGAAGTACGGTAGAATCCATTTTAAGGCCCAATAGGCTGTATCTTAACAGAACACCTCCCCCTGAGGGGTGTTAGGGCTGCCTTATCCCCACAGTATTTGTTTCCAGAGAGTAAGTAATGTATGTATGTATGTATGTATGTATGTATGTATGTATGTATGTGTGTATGTGTGTATGTGTATATGTATATATATACACACACACACACATTACACACACACACAAACTCACACACACATGAAGATGGGTAAAAGCTAGGTGTCTTACTAGTAGAGTACTACTCAATTATGACCCAGCAGTGTGTCACAACTGCTAAAAAAGCCAATGCAGTCCTAAGCTGCATCAACAGAGGAATAGCATCAAGAAGAGGAGAAGTGATAATACCACTTTAAACAATGTGTCCAGTTCTGTTGGCCACAATAGGGAAAAAAATCCTGAGACTCTAGAAAGAATGTAGAGAAGAGCAACAAAGGTGATGAAGGATTGGAAACTAAATCACACAATGAGTAGTTCATGGAAATAGGCATGCCTACCCTAACAAAGAGAAGGTTTAGGGGTGACATGATAGCAATCTTCCAATACTGGACTGTCACAGGGAAGAGGGTGTCCATTGATTCTCCCTAGTACCTGAGAGCAGAAAAAGAAGTAGTGGATGGAAGTTTATCAGAGGGAGATCCAACCTAGAACTAAGGAGAAATTTCCTGACAGTGAGAATGATTAATCAATGGAACAGCTTGCCTCCCAAAGTTGTTCCATCACTGGAGGTTTTCAAGAAGATGTTGTACGACGTTTTGACCAGAAGAACTCCTGCCTTGGACAAGGGATTAGACTAGAAGACTTCCATGGCCACTTCCAGCTCATGATTCTATCTCTATGTCATACACTGTTTTTAGTTCCTTCAGCCTTCCTTTGTGGAGCCTAAGCCTCATTTTGTTTTGTTTGGAAAACACTGCTTGAAATGAGCCATTGCCACTCAATTAATGATAAGTGCTCTATCTGGCACTAAAATTCAAAAGTTCTGGCTGGCTTCCCTTGCAATTTCAATCTTGCTGCCTGTCTTGATCACAGTAGAAGCTTCCAATCTGCCCTTCAGCCTAACACAAATGTCAATCGCACGTCTCCTTTGCTTTTTTATTTCATCATTTTATTTCAGCTTTTAGGCAAGTGCTACAAAGAAGCAAACATTAAGAAATTATGAAAAATCAAGATATTTTCCCCCTGCCCGCACTGTTTATTCCTTCACCCCCCCAAAAATAATGACATATAGAAAGTACTCTGGGATATCATTAGTATGGTGGGAAGATATCTCCCCCCCCAACCCTACTCCTATAAAACTTTACAGATAGTCCTTGCTTACTAATCACTTATTGGTGACCTTCTGAAGTTATGAGGGCTTTGCCAAAGGAACTTTAACAACCAATTCTCGTAATTACAATTGTTACAGACTGCAATTTGGGTGCTTGGCAACTAGTGTGCATTTACAGCAGTTGCAATATCCTGGGGTCTCATAATTTCCATTAGCGCCCTACACAGCTATTTCCAACAAGCAACATCAACGGGGAAGCCAGCAAGAAGTTGCAAGTCATAGTCATGTGATGTCACGCGTGTGGTGATTTGCTGAACAACAGCAGCCAGAACTGACTGCAAATTGTGCAGTCACGTGGCGTTTCACTCAATAACACCTGACACACGCTTTTTGGCTACAGTGAAATAAATGCAATTATTATCAGCAATGAACTACTAGAGTGAACATATCAGTTAGAAGCAAGAAATGTGATTGTACTTTTTCCTCTTTTTTAACACAGTGAAAAAAAAACCAGCGAGTTTACTTACTGGAGTCTAAGTGGCCACAGCATTCTAGGAAAAAGGCTTCATATTGTTAATGGGCCATATTGTTAAGACTTAGTCTAACTTTATTGTCACTTTATGCTCTGACCTAGGCTTCACAAAATCACGAAGCAG